AAAGATCCCCCTATTGCAGGACCCGTTGTCTGGTGCTGTGCGAACCCTTCAAGCAAGAGGTGCAATATGTACATGTTGCTGCTGTGCACTCCAAATTGGGCCGGGGGGGGGGGGAAGGCGCCACTCGCCGAAATGTCGCGTGCCTTTCAGGCGGCACGGGTCCTTAGTAGGACACTCTCCTGACGAAATATTAGCGTCATTGCGTCGTTACTAACCCTATCATCAAGCTTTTGCGCGAATTTCCCTCCTTTCTCGCGTGACGTCAAGATTCGTAACTACGGTAGCCGACGTTAATTTTTTACGCCCTTTTCCGCTGTCCCTCGCAGGATGCCGTTCACCGGGTCCGACAAAGCGGCGCTGCTTTTGCTCGCGTCCCTGATGTTTATAGACGACGATGACGACGACTTTGAGACACCTCTCGTGCAAGCCCTTGGAACCGCCGGGTATGATGAGGTCGCCGACTTCCTCGACGGCAGCGCCAGGGACGGCACGACCAGACCGCATGCAAAGCGGTACTGGGAGCGCACGGGACGATACCTGAGCAGCGCCCAATTCAGAAGTGCCTTTCGGTGCAGGTATGTCGCTGGCCCGAAAGCTAGGGCTGACAGTATATGCGGCGGTGTCCCTAGGACCACAAGGCTGTTCACCAGTTTAGGCTGAGCACCTCCGCCTCTCCTAAACGTAGATTTTGTGCCTTCCGTTCGTGTCGACCCTTCGTCAGTGTACATTTGCATGAAGGGGTAAGAAATGCGAGAGCCGTCACGCGCAATGAGCCTGCATGGGATTGATATTTTTTGTTTGGCGAGCGCGCGTGACCGCTGTCCCTCCAGTCCTGTCTAAGTCGCCCCAAAGAAGCCCCAGCCCCAAACAAACGTATACCTCTTTCACGCCCACAGCGTACACACTCTATGCTTTGTAGTTAACCCTGGTGCTTAGCAGCTGGTTAGGTTAAGCACAGCAAAGCCGATAAAAGGTGCCCGCGATCTAAACTGACTTTTGTCTCCGTGGAAAAACCAGGAAGACGACCTTCGCGACACTGGTGAGGAAGCTATACGGAACGACGGACTTTTGCAGGAGGGGGGCTCGTGGACCGTTCTTCGATCCCTGCGAAAGGGTTGCGGTCTTTTTGTGGCGCCTGGGTCATAATACGGATGTGAGGGGGGCTTCGATCATGTTTGGGCTGTCAGAGGGGGCGATCTCCTACTGCACGCTCGAGGTGGCTAAACTCATCGAAGAAAAGCTTCGTCGGAAGCATGTCGCTTGGCCCAGCCCAGCGGCTAAGCGTGAGATTTCCACTGAGTGGGAGCTGGAGAAGGGTCTCAGGTGTGTACGACCCGGGGTTACTAGTATCGCCTAAACCCATCCAATCGGTGTTAGTTGCCCGAGTTTAACGCAGTTCAGTGTCGACCTGTGTGCGGGTCGGACTTGGCGTGTAGATCGAAGGACGATGAACGGGCCCTGCTGGTCCGTGCGTTGTTGTTCCGAGCGTTGGCGCGTTAAGTTACAAAGCCCTGAGCTCTGACCCTTTCCCGTTGTTGTAGCCTTTACACTTACCATCGCCGATGGCGCGCGCATATATAGACTATGGATATGGGTACAGGGGTTAGGGGAGCGCTGATTGTGAATACGGCGGTGGGACCATCACCCTGGCCAATGTATAACATCGGAGGGATAGGAGTGTATCTTGCGTACGCTCCATGGAGGACGGATGTTGAGCCTCTCCGGTGTGCTCTGGGACCTCTTGGCGCGAGTACGAGTTTTCACCCACGTATAACCCGTGACACTGTTCTCTTGCCCAATATCTGCGTTTGCATATTCGCGCGCCCTAATGACTACCACCCTCGCGCCCGATCTTGCACGTTCGGACCTGTGCCCCATGCAGGAACGTCATCGGAGCTATAGACGGGACCCACATCAAGGTGTCGCCCCCCGAGGCCCTGGCGAGGGCTTACTACAACTACAAGCACTTCTACTCCATATCCCTCCTCACGATCGTGGACAACGAGGGTCTGTTCCGCTGGTTCTGTTCCGGCGCGCCAGGGAGTTGTGGTGACAGCGGCGTCTTACAGCACAGTCAGTTCTACCATGCGGCAGAGGCGGAGCGGACGGTGGCTGCAGCAGAGCGCCGCGTCTTGGCCAACGGCGCGGTGATTCTCGGGGATTCGGCTTTCGCCGAGTCTGATTGGATGCGCACGCCGATCCCCAAGCCCACTTGCAGGGCCGAGCGGTTCTTCAACTACAAGCACTCCAGTCATCGCTTCCGAGTGGAGCACGCGTACGGGCGCGTGAAGAAGAAATTCCCGGCGCTTGCTAAGGGCCTCGACCGCCAAATCAAGAACGCCCCTCTCCTGGTTAACGCTTGTGTCGTGCTGCACAACTTCATCTTCGCACTGGAGGGCCAGTTTCCGAAGGACCAGGGAAAGGACAACGCGCCGACCAAGAACGGGACGGGCCACAATATTGTAGCCGGTTGCGGACCCGCAGCTTCGGCGAGGGCGCAAGAAGTCGAACACCTTCGAGGACACTTCCTGCTGAGGGAATGGGGAGCGCCTGGCTCGCGGGCGGACCGCCGCCGCAAGAGAGCCGAGAAGCGCATGAGGAGGAACAACGGGACGTTGACATGAGGGTCTTGCCCTTGCCCTGCGCTATCGTGTTTCGTGGCCATGAGTTGTACGTTGGAGGCGTAGTAACCCTAAAGCCGTAAATATCCGTGAAGTCGCTCGTTTTGGACACTCCCCGTTGTGTCGTTGTGCAGAGGCTTTCTTGACGAGTTCGGGCAGAGGGCGGGGGGCTTGGCGCGCGCACGTGTCTGTGTGTGTGTGTGTGTGTGACACAGGGGTGGCCTGTTCCGGTGGCCTGCCCAGTGTGTGTATCTTCTGCTGTAAGAGGTCATGATAGGCAATACTAGCCCTCAAGTCGAAGTGTCTTTGCCCGCTGTGGCCTCTTTGTGTACTCTCTGTGACGCAGCTCGCGGGAGGGTGTCCCGAAGAAGCTCGCGGAAACATCTTAAGTACGGTAGCGTAGTACACTTGTCATACCACCTCGTAACTGTAATGTCGTCGTCTTTGTGTGCCGGCGCGAGGGCGTTGGCAGCTCGCTGTGGACACTCGCCGAATGCGCCACTAAGTTGTTTTGCTCTCATGTTATCAGGTTGTGGTGCGTGCGGGGGCGCAAGGGTCCCCGCAACATAAAGCGATCAATCCACTACCCCAATTGCGTAACCCATGCCATCCGTCCCAGACTAATATTCCTATTCCAAGTACCAACAGTCACCGTGCTTGTTTATGGACAATGCCGTCCATGTGTATCACATGCATGTACCGTTCCAGGAACAGGCAGCTTCAAATAATAATACACCAAGCACCCAGTCAAACAGCCATCTTTCCCCCTTCCTGACTTCAGAACCCTGACCAAACATAAACCTCCTACATACGCCGAGAGCCTACCTACCCCCGTTAAGAAAACTCAACCCGCCAAAACAACAGAGACATCCTTGGAAGACTATCCACAAAATACAACATCACATCAGAATTGCGTCTTGCAGAGCGACGGACATTTCAGCTGACGTGTCTTTCAATCAGCGCCAAATTCCTCAAATGAAACCATCATTTCAACCTACTGGTCAGCACTTCATCAGCATTCGGAACGCACAAAGGCTCCAACCATGACCAAGCAGCACATACCAAGTCCTTTCCTTCGATGCAAAACATAACATCTTGAGCAGCAAAGATGGAACTACGTCCCCTAACCCAGCACACGAAAAAGCCATAGGGACATCACAATCGTTGCCCTTACAGCGGTCATCATCGTCTAATCGCCCCACTCCGTGAGCAGTGGACAAAGTAACGACGAAACAAGAATAGACATTAGGACGACGTCGGCGCGAAACAGGAAAATACAGTAGTGCTACAAGGAAGCCGGCTAACCCCCCGCCAAGTCCAGGCTGCTTATGCACCGAGCGCCAACACAAACAAACCAACCCCAACCACCACGCTAGCCGACCAACGACAGGCATCTCCATCCTGAGCTTCGCCTGGTCACCCATAGTTCAATGACACGCTGCGACCGCCCAACGTCCCAGAAAACCAAAAGAAATAAACTAACCCCGATCGTATGAGAAATTTGCGACAATAGATGAACAAAGACCTTAGACATCCCTACTCCGTCCGTCGCTCGGCTTTCCCCGTGGGCGACATGGCACGCTACGTTCCCCCGAAAAATAGTCAGTCCCACCACAAACATGAAAGATAGCCGAAAGCAAGCGGATAATACAAGACACAATCAAGTCGTCCCCACCCAAAACAAGGAAATTAGCCGAAAGCAAGCGGAAAACACAAGACACAATCAAGTCGTCCCCACCCAAAACAAGGAAATTAGCCGAAAGCGAGCGGATAACACAAAAAAACAATTGAGCAAACCAAAGACAATAAGTCCCCATGCGAAACAAGGAAGTTAACAGAAAGCAAGCGGATAACACAAGACACAATCAAGTCGTCCCCACCCAAAACAAGGAAATTAGCCGAACGCAAGTGGATAATACAAGACACAATCAAGTCGTCCCCACCCAAAACAAGGAAATTAGCCGAAAGCAAGCGGAAAAGACGAAAAACAATCGAGCAAACCAAAGACAATAAGTCCCCATGCGAAACAAGGAAGTTAACAGAAAGCAAGCGGATAACACAAGACACAATCAAGTCGTCCCCACCCAACACAAGGAAATTAGCAGAAAGCAAGCGAAAAAGACGAAAAACAATCGAGAAAACCAAAGACGTCGCGGCTACGCGGGCTTGGGCGAGGGATCAGTGTTCGGCGACAAGATATTTTCGCGGAACCGCTGATTTCACGCCTGGTATTGGCGCCGATGCGCGACCCTACCCTGCAGACACGGCCCCAACCACACTTCTAGTCCAAGCACGCGGCAAGGAGGGGGGAGGCGTTGGGAAGCTAAAGTAAACCTAACCCCCCCTGGGACCAAACACGCCCCCCCCCCCATTAGCTTCCTAAGTTAGGCTGAAGTACCTCTGTGCGGCCGCCGCCACCATTGCTTTGGTGACACCTTCTGTACCAGCCTTCTCCGACGCTACCGCTTGCTGCCACTGCTTTTCTGCCTCCTTCTTCTCGTCCAGCGCAAGCTTCCGTTTCTCAATCTCCAGCTCTGCGGCACGGTCCGCGACGCCCGAGCTCGCTCCCCCGCCCCCACCCTGGCCTCCGCCCCCGCACAAGACCTTCTCGACTACACCCGCGAACCGCGAGAAATTATGTTCGCGCTGCTTGGCCGCCTTCTGGTTCATCTTACCCAAGACGTGCAGAGTGTCTTGGGGGGAGAACTTTTTCGACTTCCTCCTCGATTTACTCCGGCCGCCTCCGTCGCGCGAGGAAGCGTCGGAGTCGGACTCGGAGTCGGAAGACTCGTCCCCCCCGCTCTGCCCCCCCCCGCTCTGCCCTTCACCCGCCGGTGACAGGGAAACGTCGGTGACCTGCTCTTCCTCTTCGGAGGAGCAACCCTCGTCACCACCACCGTCGACATTGGCGTCCGCCCTCGCTTTTCCTCTGCCCTTCCCCGTGCCCTTCCCACCACCCCTCTCCTTCTTCTTGCCACCCCCCGCGCTCGCCTCGCCTGTAAGGTCCACCGGCGCACCGACGAGGCGGCTACCGCCGCCGCTACCGCCGTCACCGCTCCCGGTCACCTTCTGCTTCTTCTTCTCGCCCTTCTTCCTGTTCTTGCCACCCCCGGCGCTTGCGTCGCCCGTGAGGTCCACGGGCGCACCGACCCCGCTGCTTCCTCCGCCACCGCCGCCGTCACGGCTCTTGCTCTTCTTCTTCTTCCTCTCCCCCCCGCCCTCGCCGTCAAGGTTCAGGGCCTTGCCGCCGCCGCTGCTGGCGATCCTCGTCCTCTTCGTTCCGCCGCCCTCCAAAGCGCCGCCTAAGTCAAAGCCCTCGTTCAGGACTTGCTTCGTGTTGACGGCCGGGTTGGCGTTCAACGCATCCATCCGGAGCGAGGTGAGGAACCTCGGTCTCTTGGCCTCCTTCCCCCCGCTCGCGCCAGTGCTTTTGATCTCCTCCCGCCGTGCTTTCTTGTCGGCGTCGACCTGCCCTTTCCACCACTTCATCAGTGTCTTCATCCGCCGTTTGCCGAAACGCCTGCGGACCTGCGACCCGTTCCTAGAGCTCATGTATGAGCTATCCTTCTCAAGCCTGGTCACGACGTGCTTGGCGATCTCGTTGTACCACACAACCACGCCGTATTGGTTGTTGAAGGAAAACCTCTTGTTCTGCTCGGTTTGACGGTAGGGCGGTAGAGAGAGGACGGGGGAGGGTGCCCTAGTCAGCTCGAGACTCTTAGAGTTACTATAAACGAATCTACCGGTTTTCCCGGAGGGTCTTCTGCTGGCCTACTATTCTGGAAAGGAGGACCGAGACTACGCCCATGCATCGATGCATAGCTAAACTTATGCTGTCGTACGTGGGTGCTCCAGGGTGAACCTGTACTACCAAACGCCCTGAAAACTTAATACTTCGCGATCTCGCCTGACATCGGGAAGCCAGCGTTTGTGCTACATCAGCTAAAGCATTGCCCAAGTCGACCTGCTTCCTGTTTGCCAGCATGAAGCGTTGGCAACAGGCCAACCCTAGCACTAGACTAACCCTTACCAATTATATGCACCCACCATCATGAACTTCCCTCCACCCAGTTTGATGATGGTCTCGAAGATATTTTTCTTCTCGCGGAAGTCGTACAGCATTTTGCTCTGCGCGGCGCGGAGGGACGTCGGCGGGGTAAGAAACAGGGTTTAATCATTTCAGTACGCGGGACGCAAATAGTAAAATACAACATCGAACTCCTGGTCGACCCTTCCCCAAACCTAACCCCGGAGACAAGGTTGCCAGAGTAAATTATCAACCAACGGTAAAACCATCAAGCCGATGGATCGGGAGCGTGGATCCGAAGACACTACTATGTGGGCACGCGAGAGGGGGGGGGCATAGGCGGGGGTGAGACCTCTAACCCTTCGTATATTTGCGCCGCGCACCAATGGGCACAAGAAACACATTTGTTCGAATCCAGTGTTGCTTTTATAGGCCCGACTGTAGGCTACAAAAACTCGAATCCAACGAATACCAGGCAAGGCAGACAGTACATAGCACGACGGGATAACCAGCACGTGCCCGGCAGCACCACCGGCGATGTGGAGGTGTCCCGAGTTCAACCCACTTAAGTCTCTACGTACGTCGACCGCAACCCCGACAGTCTAACTGAGAAAGCTCTACATGCAGCATGCTAAGCCTACCCCTACGTAAAAACTCGCGACTCGAGATTTGTGTCGTCGCGAGCGAGCATTCTATACTGGTGCGGCCAGAAAGCCGTTAAACCCCATATATTCAAGCGGCAGGAGAGAGATGCAACAGTGGAACACAGCGGGTGTGTGTGTAGACTTAAATTTGGATAAAAACGCCTCAATCACACGCCACATGAACGCTGACCAACATAGATAGCAGAGCACCCATAAATCGGGCAATTTTTTTGTAAGACACGGAAGAACTTCCAACAATTATCTATGTTTAGAGGGGTAGAGCCGGGTAGATGCCTGACTCCCACCAATCACCCGTCGAGTTTGTAAGACATTTTGTAAGACAGAGACAGATGATTGGGCGATGGGCACGACGCTCTCGGCAGAATCACTGAAATCCTCTCGCACAGCAGCACCATACACATCACGTAGACAACGTACGATACAACCAGCACAGCAGTATACGGACTGCTGTAGGCCAAGGGCAGCCAAAGGCATACATCATGGGAGGCGTTGGGTGGGACTCTTGCGGCCCGTTGCCTGCTGTCGGCAGCACAAGCGAGTGACGACGCAAGTCAACCCGCGGTCCGTCTGCATCACCCTCAACCTACCGATCTTTGGAGCTTCCCGCACAGACGTATCCCCACAACAGAGAAAACGAGGCCTAGACACTGCTGTAGGCCAAGGCCGGCCAAAGGCACACATCATGGCTGGCGTCGGAAGCTATTTTTAGACCCCGAGGCCTACTGCTAGCAGCGTAAGCGAGGGAACATGCGAGTGCACACAAGTGAGATCTTTGTCTGCTGTCTCTCGTCTGCCGGCCGATCTTTGCTTCCACAACAGATGCACCCCAGAAACAGAAACAAGTGAGACGTACACAGCGCTGTAAGCCATGGGCGGCCAAATACGCACGTCGTGGGAGGGGTCGGGCCCAATTTTTCGAGCCTGTTGCCCTCTGCTAGTAGCGAAAGCGAAGAAAGCAAGTGCGCACCCATGCACAGCAGCAGCAGCAGCACTGCTGCCGCTGAGCTGATGATGATGAGAGCTAAACAGCTCTCCCATTCATCCCCTGGCTGACTGGTGGTATCGGGTGAGGTGTGAGCGTGCGCACTGGTGACCTACTACGTGGTGGCGTAGGCTCCATCCATATCTATCTACGCTTGCTGTGATGTCTCTCTCCGACCCTTCTTTTCGCGCTTCGCGCGAAATAATTTAATTTTTTTCGTTGGACCCCTATGTATGGGATCGGAGCCACATAGATACAATTACAAGCCTATCCCTCGCAATTTCTACCACCTACAATAGCGGCAGGGTAGAACAGAAGTGCATGTACATAACCTGCAGCAAGATCGCAAAAAAATAACGGCACCTCTCCAGAATAATTCCGTCATGTTCCAATGTTCTCCCGCTCTCACCGTGTTCTGTTTGTCGAACCCGTCCGGCACAGCACGGCTCTCGTCCTCGTCCTCGTCCTCGTCCTCCTCCTCTTCTTCTTCTTCTTCTTCCTCCTCCTCCTCCTCCTCCTCCTCCTCCTCCTCCCTCCTCCTCCTCCTCGCTCCTCCTCCTCCTCCTCCTCCGTCCTTCCTCCTCCTCGGCGCCGCGGCCAACGTCGTCATCGTCGTCGCCGTCGCCGCACCCGCCGCCGCCGCACCCGCTGCTGCTGCTGCTGTTGTTGTCGTCGCTCTCTGGCATATCCATCGCTCGCCGCTGAAGCTCTTCACGCCTCTCCTTCGCTGAAGGTTGACGCCCTGACGCCGTGTGACTAGGTGTTGGCGGCGTGCCTTCGTGCATCGACCTATAGTCACGTCGCGTCTTCCCCCTAGAACTCGCCCTCGCCGGCGAAGAGACAGGCTGCGCTGTGAGTCCTCCAGACTCCGCACGAGCAGCGGGAGGCGCCTCAGCTTGCGCTAGGTCTGCCAACGCCTCTGCACCATTAGCCGTGGCAGAGGCAGGGTATGTGGCACCATCAGCGGCAGCATCCTCCTTCGTTGAGCTCCGCGTGTTACGCGGCGGGAGGGAGAGGCCGCGCCTCGCGTGCGTTGCGAGGGTGCTGTTTTTGAATTTTTTTTCGCTGCTTGTTGCGGACCGCGGCCGCTGCTGCGGGTAGCCCTGGTGCCGACCACAGGGCGACCTGAGCGGCCTGAGGGTGCCGCGGTCTCCCCCCCTGCTTTATGCGCTCCTCTTGTTGTGGGTGCCATGATGCTCAAAGTGGAGTGCGCCCCGCACACCCGGGGCGCGAAACGAGCATTCAAAAATGACCACCCCCCCATGGTGGCTGTATTTTGGCGTTTTGGTTTTTCGGTTTTTGGAATTTTTAAAAATTGAACGCGGCTTTACACACAAGACACGCTCATATTTCCCCGCAGATTGTTTGCGTTGTGTTGGCTGGTACACGCCGTTCGATCGTTCATGTCGGACAATGCTGTAGAACCACACCCTGGCGTGGTTTCCTTGGTTACAGTCCCCCCTTGGTGGCTGTTACACACGGTTATGCATCTATTGCACAGACAGTTGCACTCACGAGGTTACTGCTGCATTTATTTCCCCGCGCTGATGTGGTTATTCATCGTCTCACAGCTGTTGTCGCTGTGATGAATTGGTGTCGCCGCGGCGCGCCGCTGCCGGTGTCCTGCCGCTACGTCTCATTGGCTGTACACGCCGTTGTACCCCTACGCCATTACAATTACGTCATCCCTTTGCCGTACTGGCGGCTAATATACATATCACCTCACCTCACCCGCATCGCATGCGACCGCGTTGGAGGTATCCCTCCCAACTAGGGAATATCTGGGCGCCCGTCACGTGCTGTCTTATATCTCATGTAGCTTGTGCCTCATACATTGGCCACATATGGCCGTTTGGTGGTGCTTTTCTCCTTTGGGATTGCGTGTCCAACGTGCACACCACACAAATACATGCCGTTCGGTGGTGCCTTTTTCCCTTGGGGTTGCGCGTCCAACGCGCACACCACACAACCACATAATAATAAGTAGTGATCGTCCGGGTTGTTTTATGTAAACACCACATGGTCACATGCCGAATTAGTTCCCTTGCCTCTCGCGTACTGACGTACCTCGTGGCGCACGCCCAACTAACACCAACAACCCATATGCACACCAACTCCGCCGTAGCTAGCAATCCCGTCTGTGAGTAGGTAGACTTACACTTGGATAAGCCCGGCGAGACGTTGTGTCAGTTGGTCCGTGCGCTGTCATGTTTTCTCGACGGTACGCCTGGATACACAGCATCGAATCGACGTTTGCTTCGTAACGTAATTTCACACGCGGCCATACAAATTGGGCCCCGAAAAGGAAATATATATGTATGCTGTGTGCCTTTCTATGTTGACGGGAACCCGTGCTGTCAGTTCTCAGCCCACAGGTTTCCTCTCCAAAAAAAAAAAAAAAAAAAAGGGGAAGGGGGGGGGGGGGGTCTTTGATAGTTCCTGTCATTCAAGAAGTGCGAGTTTTGGGCCAGTCACGGCCTTTCAATGCTTCGATATCATCTGCGATTCGGACACGATGACGTTCCGGATTCTCTAGAAAAAGCTGGACAAGCCACGTGCCATACTACGAACTGCTCTCGCCGATGGATGCTTGTCGAACGCCGCAACGCGTTGCGGGCAAGTGAATGACCATGACTGTGGTGATCCGACCGGCGTTACTTTGGACGCAGGCGACGTTGCCGTCCTTCCCAGATGGTCAAAACCATCCAAAGTCGGGTCGATCTAGCATGTAACGCTAACAACGCATCTGCGGGAAAAGTTCCAAAAAGCGGCTTTCTCTGACGGTTTCCTCGCACGAAAGGCCCTGACAGCGAGCAAGCCACCCTCATCGTCAAACTTGACGCATCATCGGACGCGTCTTCCCTAGGCTTGGGGTGGCGTTTTGTCAACATCGGGGGAGCCCAGTGCCGCGCTGGTGGTGTGATCCCAACTGATTGGCTGCACAAGCACGTGCTACACTGTACCAGTTGTCGCGACTCTTTCCGTATGCGACTGACTTGCAGCGGGCTCAAGGGTTCATCGACGTCGCGTTTGTTGGAGCTACAGATCGAGTACCCAGTGGCTGCTAATGTCGTCGCTGATGGTATCTCTCTGCCCTGGCGCGAAAGCATCGTTCGTCTAAACCCCGAGGGTTTTCCGTGCTCTCTGGGAGAATGTGCGGCTGGTCGCCGTTGTTCTCATGGCTTCGGCGACCGAACAACGTTGTTGCTGAACGCAGGCCTCGGACCAAGACGCGTTCGAATGCCTCAGATTCTTGGGCACATAACGTAGAGGCACCAAGTGGGTGTACGACAGAGCCATGCTTTGGCGCATAGACTAGGTATGATACAATTTCGCGCATGCCTTCTAGTTTCGCAATGCGCTAACAGTACACAGCCGCGTCGATGCAGAAAGGGATCGTGTCCAAGTTGAAGATGGCGATCCAAAAGTAGTTGGGGCAAGACGGCAGCTGGGACCCTGTTACGCGGTCGGGCGACCCGTGTCGTAGTCCTCTCGTAGAACCCTACGTCATGTTTACGAGCAAGGAACAGAAGCTTTGTCAACCACCAGAGGCTATGTTGCCGCATGTTCTCTTCGATTTGTTGAGGGACATGCGCTTCCGGGCACAAACTGCGTCGCCTTTGGTGGTACGCATTGAGCATACCAGGGACGTCGCTTTGTTCTCGCTGGCGTTCGCGGCCACGACGACCTCTCCTTCACGATGGGATCGCAGATTCTGCGGCTGCCAGCGGGGGAGGATCTTATCTTCAATTTCCAGTTTGGTAAGACCCCCCATGACTCCGTAGACGCCGTGGTGGCGGGCGCGGACGTTACGGGCTGCCACACTGCTACACGATGCCTTCCTCTCGGGACGGGGGATGTGTGGCACAGTTGCTGGATGGACCTGCAATCGCTGTTATCATGAAAAATTGCCGGGCGGCGTACCGATAGCGTCGCACTTGGCGCCTACTAGTGTAGGAACGGCGGGTTCCAAGACGAGGCGTAGCGAGTACTACCCTGACTAAAACACGTTGCCGATTGTCGGCCGGCCACGCATACATTCGATTTTCTACGTGTGCGTGCCGCGGAAATAAGAAAGTTTGGGTGGGGATAGACCTACCTTAGAGGCTTGTTTGGTCAAAGCAATATATGGCAGATCAGACAATCAACAGGAAGTAATGGGCGGGACCACAGGCCGGTGCAGGAGGCCTCACCCAACCCAATCCAATACATACATTGAATGATCTAGGTAAGGGACAAGAATACTATTTCTATTCATGAACTTACTGATCATTCAAACGCTTCGAGTCTGGGCATATTGCGATCTGTATGCCCAGCCCGAAGAGTTACTTCACGGCGAGGCCCTCCTGTCGGTGCAGGAGGCCTCACCCAACCCAATCCAATACTTACATTGAATGATCTAGGTAAGGGACAAGAATACAACAGTAAGCATCGCGATTCGTGGGCCCTCGCCAAATTTCGTAACCCTCCGAGCGCAGTAGCACGCGCCACCAAAGTGTATGTGAGCGGGTTCTATCCTCCACCGATCTTGTATTCTTGTCGACCCATTTCGGGAAAAAATCGAATTGTCAGTGTCCGCTTGGTGGTAACAAACGCAACGGCATCACGTGTGTCTATTCATTGCAGTAATGGTGGTTTAGTCCATGAATGTGTGCGAGGGCTGAATGAGTTGTCAACGCGACCTTTTGCCAACAACTCATGATACGACGAAAGCGCGCACGGTACGCCCGCCGAAAAAGTGCAAGCATTTTGCATAGGCCAGCACTGTTGCCACCGTATATGCATTCATGCGCACTCTCCATCGTTCGATTTTATGCAGAAGTTCGGCAGGTTATGAATCTCAAGGGTCCTTGCTGCGTCATAATCATCCTGCATCATCAGTAGAAATGTGCCAGGTGTACAAACGTGTAAACAGCGCATGCAGAGATGGGATGAGATTCATTTTTATTCATTCCACGTGTGTGTCCCAGCAGAATATGACATCACACACACCATCACGAAATGGACCCGTCCGTGTGGTCTTAAACCCCAATTATCATCACGCGGGGGTGGGGGCGGTCGGTGCAATGTCTTGTGCAATCTACGGTCAATACATTCACTAATTGTAATTCAATTTGTGACGAGCACCGCAACCGTGCAGGTACATTCAAGGTAGCGCAGCAGTAGCCAGAAGCTCGTCAGCATCTCAAGAACGAGGATTTTAGCATTGCGGGACTTGCCTCTTGATTGTAAATCTCAGCATGATTATTGTTGACCTCACCTGACTTTACCTGCCCAACACTGTGAAAGAAATTGCCCTGTTTGATCTACAATACCCCTTCGTTCAAACAACCGGCGAATTACGGGGTGGACGTTTGTGTGACCCCCGAGCACAACTATCCATGAGCGATACCATTGCGATCTAATGTATGTACGCGTCGAACCTGTTCGATACCATTGCGATCTAATGTATGTACACGTCGAACCTGTTCGACTGTTCAATCCGCACAGAGGGGCTGCTGCTGATCAGGCGGCAGGTGTTGTTGTTGTCGTTGCTGTTGTTGCCTCGATGAAATCCTCCGCGTCATCTTCTCATTCGAACCGCTCGGGGCAAATCATGTGAAACCGTAC